AGGACGAGCACTAATACTGGGAAGGAAGAGAGTGTGGAGGAAAGGAGAGGAACAGCAACAACAAACCATTCAAAACGTTTCGCTCTTATTTGCTCGCGCGTGAAACCTCATGTATATTCCAAGGCCTTGATCAGTATGTAAGTTCCAAACCCTCGATGCCCGCCCTCCCCGTCTTCGATCGTGCCCCCTGGAGGTACGTCTTCCTTACCTGCGACGTGTAGTTGGCGCAGCACCGAACACAGGACGAGGAGGGAGACAAGACAAAAGTGAGGAGTGCGGGAAGGGTGGGAGGAGGGAAGAGGCAAGAGGGAGGGAGAAGGCCCCCAGTACCCCCCAAGGCTCCCCCAGTACCCCCCAGTCCTTCCTAGTACCCCCCCGGGACCCCCAGTACCCCCCAGGGCCCACCAGTAACCCCCAGGGCCCGCCAGGCCACCCCAGCCCCCCAGTCCTTCTCAGTACCCCTCAGCACCACCCGTATCCGCCCGTACCCCTTTGTACTCCCAGTATACCTCCCAGTGCCCCCCAGAATTCCCCAGTACCAACCAGAGCCCCCTAGAGGACTCCCAGTTCCCTCCAGTACTCCCCAGGGCCCCCGAGTACTCCCCAGGGCCTCCCAGTCCCCCAGTCCCCCTCAGTGCCCCCCAGCACTCCCCAGTACCCCTCAGCACCCCCCAGTGCCCCCAGTACTCCCAGTACCTCCAGGGCCGCCCAGTACCCCCCAGTACTCGCCAAGGCCCCCTGGTGCCCCCCAGGGCCCCCCAGTACCCAGTACTCACAAGTACTTCCCAGTACCCCTCAGGGCCCCCCCCAGTGCCCCCCAGCACACCCTCGTACCCCCCGTACCCCCTCGTACCCCCCAGTGCGTCCCAGTGTCCCCCAGTACCACCCAGTACCACCCAGTACCCCCCAGTACCCCCGAAGTACCACCCAAGAGCCCCCAGTGCCCTCCTGTGCCTCTCGTGCTGGGGACGACAGACGCGGCCGGAGCAGTATTGTCCGGTACGGTAGCGACGGTCTGTGCGGCATCGTCCCGTATGGCGGCCGCGGCCAGTTCGGTATCGTCTGGTACGGTGGCCGCGGCCGATTGGCGCGGTACGGTATGTGCTGGTACCAGTTGGCCGGTATTCGGTACGGGTGCGGCCATCATGCACAACATCTGAAATGTGGCTCCTTCCCCCGTCGCCTGGCGTCCTCCTTGGAGGAGACCATCGTTTTTTCCAGCTGTGCGTGGCAGTGCCGATGGAGATGCAGCCTGTAGCCTCACAGAACAAATCGATGGATAGATGGCGGATGTTGCAGGACGAACAGCACTGGACATTGTCAAGCTTCGCATCACGTAAACGTACAAGTCGTGAGGGGTTCCAGCTTTGTGCAGCGGGGAAAGTTACCCCTCACCCTGAGCTCGTTACAGTTGTAACGCATCGCTTCGCGACATCCAGTGAACACCGAATCAAGGGGACGCTTGGCCGCACTGCTCTTCCGCTGCAAGATTCTAGGCGGCAGTCCCTCTCGCCTTGTGCTGGCCGAGCGCCAGCTCGTCTGAACGCTGTCTTGGATCCTGTGGAGATCAGCGGCAACGTTACCTGCGGCTCCGGCCGGCGAGGGAAGGAGGCCCATCGCTCGGGGGCCCCCGGGGCGGCGTGTCCTCCTCCTCCTCCTCCTGCTCCTCCTCCTCCTTCTCCGCCTCTTCCTCATCCTCATGCTCCTCCGCCTCCTCCTCCGCCTCCTCCTCCTCCTCCTGTGGGGAAGGTTCAGGTGGGGACGCATCGACACCCGATCGCCTGTTCATCGCCGATGGCGGTCTGATAGGCCACGCCGCCCAGGAGCGTGGGGATTCGGTGTCGGTGGTTCACAGTCGGCCCGGATTGGTAGGTCGACCCTGCCAAGTCAAGGGTACCCTTGTGTCTTGTGTCTCGCGCTTGAGGATGGTGTTTTCGGAGCGCCGTTGACGGCAACACCACACCGCTCACCCTCCGGGTCTTCGCCTCCGGCTCTTGTCCAAGGCGTTCCTTTTCTTGTGCAAGCTCCTCGGCACCGGCTGCACCCCGGCCCGCCCTCCGGCCGCCTGAGGCCCCGCCCGCCTGTGCCCTGTCTCCTCAATTAGAGCTGTGCGTAGCCCGCCTAGCTTTTACCGGAAGAGGTTCGCTCTCGCCCCGCAGACCAAAAAAGTGTGCTGTGTCTCGCGACCCATGTTTCCTGCATTCCTGTGGCAGTGTGGCCCTCGGAAGGGTCTTGTGTCCTCTCGCGTGTCCTGTCCAACCGAGTCCGACTGTATTGCCGATCCATCGGTGATGCATCACCGATTCCACGTCGATGCTTCTCCCACCCGCGCCGGTCACCCCCCGTCAGAAAGGGGCCCGCTCTATCACGGGAGCAGCTGGGGCGATCTTCTACGGCTGATCTGCGTGCCCGCTTGGGCTCGGCCCCGCTGAGTTGAGGGCGCTGGATCGTGCACGCGTCCAGACTTAAATCGGGCCTGCTCCTCCTTTACATGGGGAGTATTCAAAAATTCGTCAAAAAACAATATGGGGGCCATTGTGTGGGTATTTTTGAGTTTTTTGGGGGTACTTGTTATTTTTAGTTCAAAATTTCCCTTGTAGAGGGACAGGCCCGACCTAAGTCCAGATGATCCCGCCTCCTGGCGCCAGCCTCTTCGCACGGCGGTGGAGCGGGCAGGGCCGCCTGAGGTATCGACGCGACGTGGCAGCCCGCGGCATCCTGCTTCGGGGGGTGGCGGACAAGAACCCTCGATCTCAGGATGCAGCTCCTGGGAGGTTGATTTCAGCATCGGCGCCTGTGTTTCCGTGGTTGGGGCCTGGCCGAACCTGGCGCCATCCCGTTCAGTCCAGCTTACTCTGGCCAGCTCCAGTCCCTTTCTTGGGCTCAGTCCGGCTTCGTCTGGCTTGCCGGCTCCTTCATCGGGCTTATAGCCCGTCATCGTTCTCACGGAGTTCTCCCAGGATTTGTCTCGCAGTCAATCCTGCGAGGGAAGAGACACGGGGACCATGACCAAGATGCCGCGGGATTCCGTCCGTCGATGCCGATGTCGGCCAGGGTCCATGTCGGCCGTGGCCGATTTGCGAGGATGATCCATGACATGATGCCGACCAGGGAGCGACGCTGACCAAGATCGACACGACGCTTCCACGTTCAGGTCATGGTCCTCGTTTTCTTCCCTTCCAATCTCGGCGGCGAGCACGGGAGGGAAGTGAGATGGGGTGGGCCTTCTCAGAAGGCTCAGAATTCCCACAGGTGTCGGAGAAGTCTCCTAAGCCTTCCCCCGAGACACAAACAGCCTCTCAAAAGGCGCGAGGGCTTCTGAGAAGTCCCGCCGCCTTCTGAGAAGGCCTTCTCCTTCTCCTTTCTACCCCTCGCTCGCCGCCAGCAACCGCGTCGAGACGGGCTCGGCCTGGGCACAGTCAGCACCTCTGTCGTGGGGAGAGGCACGGCCCCGCCCTCGCGCCAGGCTCCCGGGGCCCTCCTCCCTGGGCCCCCTGGGGCGCACCTCGTGTGATGCGCGGGCGGCAGCGCCCCTATGGTTCTCACTCCTCGTTCGAACTGTTACGCCACTATCCTGCGGCCTCGGCGCGTGAGGGTGCCGGTGGCGATGATGGTGATGCTGATGAGGATGATGCTGATGCTGATGACGATGCTGCTGCTGATGATGATGCCGACGATGATGCCGATGATGGTGTTGCTGAGGATGATTATTGCGATGAATGCGATGCTGATGACGATGATGTGGCTTATGCTGATACCGATGCTGGTGCTTGTAGGGATGAGGATCATTTTCATCATGCTTATGCTGCTGTGCTTGATTTCTGGTAGTGGTTAGGTTGGCGACGACGGTGAAGGCCGTGATCGAGCACTGATGATGCTGACGCTGCTGGTGCTGATAATGGTCTCGGTGAGGATATCGGTGACGATGACGGTCGAGATGCTGCTGATGATGATGATGATGAGGATGCTGATGGTGATGATGATGAGGGTGATGATGACGATGGTGATGGCCACTCTGATGGCGATACTCATACTGATTTTTTTTTTTTTTTTTTTGCCTTGCGTAAACACCCTTCTGTCGCCGACCAGAGAAGTGCGCGCCAGGCGGATGCGTCTTTGCCGCGAGTTCCCAGCAGTGTCTTTTCATCGTGCGCATTCTAACAGGCTGATGCGCCCCCGCCCAAGCTTTTGAAGAGATGGGCACTTACAATAATTGCGCGGGTGATGGATGTTGCTGCGAGTGGCGACGACGATGACGATGATGAAGTGCATGAGGAGTACCGGGGAGGATGAGGATGAGGAGCGTGGGTGATGAATATAATGATCAACGCGACGTGTATGTTCAGAATGTTGGTTGTGATGGTGATGACCAGGATGAGGATGATGACGATGCAGCTGCTGTTGATGATGATGACGCTGTTGCTGGTGATGACGGCCAAGACGATAATGATGGTGATGCTGTTGATGGTGGTGGTGATGATGATGATGCTGCTGTTGCTGACGACGGCGATGCTGATGGTGATGATGGTGATGCTGATGGTGATGATGATGGTGATGATGATGGTGATGCGGTTGGTACGATGGGAATGAGGATGATGATGACCATGATGATGCTGGTGTTGACGCTGCTGCTGCTGCTGCTGCTGCTGACGATGATGATGATGATGATGATGATGATGATGATGATGATGATGATGATGATGATGATGATGATGATGATGATGATGATGAGGAGGAGGAGGAAGAGGAGGAGGAGGAGGAGGAACTGGAGGAGGAGGGGGACGAACTGGAGGAGGAGGAGCTGGAGGAGGAGGAGGAGAAAAGGAAAATGACGAGGAGGATCGCATCAGGAGGGCGTGGAGAAACGGGATGGAGGCGTGGAAGCGACGGCGGCTTCGTCGGCGTCGGCGTCGTCGGCGTCCGCGTCGGCGCCGCCGTCGGCGTCGGCGAGCACGCCGCCCGGGGGCCTGCGAGGGAGGGCGGCGGCCGCCCATGCAGAGGCTGCCTCCCTGCGCTCGGCCTCCGGGGCTGCCGCGAACCCGGTGCGCAAGGCCTGCCCGCCCCGCGCCCCGCGGGAGGAGGGCCCAGGCGTCGCGGAGGTTTTCTCCACCAGCGTCTTCAATCCTCAGAGGACCAGAGGAAAAAGGCGGTACCCATGCCGCCACCCTTCCCTCGTTTTCCTCTTTCTGGGCCTCCTGGGTGGCCCTCGTCGCCTCGCGCATCTCGGGGGCGCTGTGTGAGGTGTGGGCTGGGGGGGCTGGGGGGCGCGGACAGCGCGTCCAGGGCCCTGTACAGTGCCGTTTTTGATACATGCTCCGCGTGCGGATCATGTATGACAAGTGCAGGGATTTAGTATTAGAAACAACGATGAGCTCATGCACACATGTAGGCAGACATTGATCATGCATTAAAAATCCAATATTTCTTTTTAAACATCCTATGTATTAAAAACTGCCCTGTGTCTTCTCGCGGGTGTCGTGGCCCCGTGTCCTCGTTGCCACGCGACCGTTGACGACCCACGTGGTCGTCCACGCGCGTTCCTCGGGCCAGGACGCGTCCCCCCCCTCCTGTCTGGCCTCCCTCTCCGGCGCATCCGGGGATCGGCCTGGCTCGAGAGATTCCGCATATGGGCTCGGGTTTGGGGCTCCAGTCGTGTGTTTCCCCGGGGCTACAACTGTTGCGCGGCGTCGGACCGAAGTCGAGGGATTCGGGCGGAGGTTTGAGGATCGATATTTGATGATGTGGTTAGGTGGGCGAGGAGGAGAAGGAGGCCGACTCCGTCGAGAAAGGAGGGAGGGCCCCGCGACCTTGGCCTCGCGATGGGTCTCACACGGGGCGTTTTTGTTGCCCCGTCTCGAGCCGCGGGGCCCCCACGGCTCGATCCTCGGGCTCGAGGGCTGCCTCGGGGAGATGGGGTCTGGGGTCCAGTGTTCTAGTGGAGCACTTGGCATCGCTCGGACGTGTGCATTTTTTCCTCGGCGACGGCCATCGAGGACCATCCTTGATCATTTGGCGAACAAGCAAAAACACGCACGAAATCGAACAATACACGAGGAATGGACGTCCGAGCGATGGCAAGAGCACGTTTTTGTTTTCTGTTGCCCCGCTTTGGTTTGGCTTTGAGCAGGACTCGGCCCGCGCTGCCCCGGCGCGCAGCCGCCGGGTGCCCGCAGATTAGGGGCTGGCGCTCGCCCTGTCCCCTCCTCCTGCAGGGAGGGAAAGGGGGACCGAGTGGGACAGGACGCTCCACACGAATCTCCTTCTGGGGGTGTCGAGAGTGTGTGTGTGTGTGTGTGTGTGTTAGGGCGACGAGATCTATACATATCCACTGCTCCTGGCCAGGCCAATCCTGGGCCCAGGAGCGGGTGCATACGCCCTCCTGGCCTGGCCAGGGAGGCATATGCACAGCTCCTGGGCCCAGGATGGGCCTGGCCAGGAGCAGTGGATGTGTATAGATCTCGTCGCCCTATGTGTGTCGCCTGGAGGGCCTCCTGGGCCTCCAGGGGGCTTCCCGTCGACCCCGTGGGGGCGGCGTCGGCGGGGGCTCGGGCTCCGGGCGGGGACGCCGCGGCACCCGGGTCGCCGCCGCACTCCCTGCCGACGGGGGAGAGCCCGAGGGCCCGCGGCGGCCCCGCGGCGGGCCCGTCTCGCCGAGTTGGTCGGCGGTGTATCGTCGAGGTCCAGGCCGGCGGCGGAAGGAAGGGAGGAGGAGGAGGAGGAGGAGGAGGAGGAGGAGGAGGAGGAGGAGGAGGAGGAGGAGGAGGAGGAGGAGGAGGAGGAGGAGGCGCCGCCGCCGCCCTCGAACTCCGCGGCGGCGCGGCGAGCGCCTGCGCGCGCCCTCCTGCGTCGTCCTGGGGTCGACTGCGCTGACATTCGCGCGAAAGCTTCCGCGCAAGGTCGCGTGTGATCGGCCTTCGTCTTCGCTGCAGCGCTCCGCAGTGGCGGCCCGCGCGAGCCGCCGCGTCAGGTCGCGCTGCCATCTCGCTGAGGACCCGTTTCTCTGTGTCGCTGAGCTGTCCTTGGCCCAGGCGCGGCGTGAAGTCGTTGTGCCGCAGTGTGTATATCCTTCAGCTCCACTTGGGGGTGGCGTCGACGGGGGGGGGCGAAAATTGAGCGCGCTTGCTGGTGCGAGGTCGTCTTTTTGTTTCTCGGCAGGCGGCCTGCGCATGTGACATTTTCCCCATGAGTTTCGCCCATGCGGCAGTTTGAATACGTCTTACACTGTAAGACCCGTTTCTCTTCGTCATCCCCGCCGAGCCAGCGGTCCTTCCCGACCGTTGGCGCTTTGAGAAGGACAGCGTGCGCCGTGGCGTCGCCTTTCGGCCCGCTTACCACACGCGATCCCCCCACCTTCGGGACAGCGTGCCCCGGGGAAGCCCTGGCACGGGGGCAGCGCGCACAGAAGGGGCCCTCGCGGGGGGGATCGCCCAACAGGGAGAGCTTGCTTTTCGGGGGTCGATGTTGCACGCCATCTTTCAGTACGCTCGAAATGGGTACGGAAAGAATGGTGCCGAAGACCAACAGGGGTTCCTGTGCATTTTGAACCGGACTCGCTGTCTGTGTCACTGCGGACGTTGGTCATTCGAGACCCAAGGACGCCTGCCCCAAAGCGGCCGCTCTCGTTTTTGGACAACATTTGCTGTTGGGCATTGTGCCCATTTTGTCCGTACCGATTTCGTCAGTATCGTTTAACCGATCCCCCTATCCCAATCCCCATCCGTGTCCAGACACCTACGTCTCAGCACCCCAGTTGGGAATATGCCCTTCGAGACCCGAAGAAAACAGCCTATATTCCCACCTAGGAGGGTACATCGACCAGTGCGGCCCAGGCCACGCCCATGGGGATAGGAGTCGGTGAAGTACTTTGCATCTTAGGGTAACCTCCCCTCTCCCCCAAATTCTTGACGCTTCGCGTATCCCCACCAGCCCATCCTACACCAGGCACTCGAACGAAGAGCGCCGATGATCGGCAGCTGTTCTTCTCCCCCTCTTCCTCCTTCTCCTCCGCCTTCTTCCTCCTCCTCCTCTCCTCCTCCCTCTCCTCCTCCTCTTCCTCCTCCTCCTCCTCCTCCTCCTTCTGCGCGCATCACCAGTGTGCAGGAAGAAAAACATATTTCTGTGAGAAGCATTTGATCGTTTCGATTGCTCTTACATGTGTTTTCGCAGTATTCTGGGCTTCGCGTCCCGCGCGAGCGCTCGATTGAATTTATTTTGAAGCAGTTTTTGGGCGTCTGGGGTCCTTTTAGACGCCATCGGGGCGCTCTGGGGGGGCATCTTGGAGCAAATATATCAAAGAAGAGCAGAGCTTTAATTAGCGTTGCCCCTCCAGACTGTCTAGAATCGCTTCCTGGACCCCTCTTGGATCGCTCTTGGAGCGCTCTTGGACGCTGTTGAGGCAGTCTTGAGGCTCTCTTGGGGCCCAGCTGGGACATCTTGGCGCCATCTTGAGGCCTCGGATGGGCTTCGGAAGCGAAAAAGTGAGAACACCAAAAACATTGATTTTCCCTAGGGTTTTGAAGCATTTCGGCCTTTTGAGGGCACTCTAATGATGCTCTTGTGGGCACTTGGAACCATCTTGGAGCGGTCTTGGAACGTGTTGGAGCGTCTTCTGAACCATTTTCAGGCATCTTGCGCTATCTTGAGCCATCTTGGAGGCGATCTTGGGCTCTCTGAGGCCTCTTGGAGCCGTCCTGGGCCATCTTGGACGCTCTGACCGCTCCCCGCCCCTCCTGTCCAGGTCAGTGGGGAGGGGGTAGGGGGAGGGGTAAACCCCTCCCCGAAGGGGAAGAGGGAGGGGTGGAAGAGGAAACGCCCTAAACCACCGACGCCCAGAGGGCTGGTGGGATTTGGTGTCTTTTCTTGTGCCCGACGCGGGTTCGATGCAGACTCGACACGGATCTGACGTGGTAGCGGATTCGACATGGATTCGGCGCGGATTCGACGAATCCGACATGGATTCGACGTGGTTAGGGTCTTGACGGGACAGACAAGGTCCCCCGAGGATGCAACAGAAGGAATAGGTGTCGATTAAACGATGTTCATCTTCGGAAGCTGGAGCATCTATATTTCCAGCCGCGGGCTGTTTTTCAATCCCCAGATTTTCTGATGGTTGGGGACGACGTCGGGGTGGTGTGGTGTATACTTTTTCCCACGTTTTCCCGGGGAATCAACGAAACACGTGTAAAGCAGGATTCCGTATACACCAGGATCCGCTTGCTTGTTCAGAGTTCAGCGCGGGGCCGGACAAATCGTCGGTGTAGAAAATTCAGCTCCTTACATCTCGGGCGCCCAAAGTCTTTGCAGCGATGTTTTTGGATCCGTGCTGGGGCCCCCTGGCGGCGCCTGCGGCGCCGCTCCTGGCGCGCTCCGCGCGCCAGGGAGGGGGGTCCAGCGCAGATCCAACAAAGCCGCGCGGAGCGCCCAGCGTCTATGCTTATGCCGCTTTTTCTCCTTCTAGCTCAACTCGGGCGCCCAAAACCTTTGCGGCGATTGCCGCGCAGTGCTCCCCCCCGCTGTGTCCGCGGCGGCTGCCGGAGAGCCCCGGCGGGGGGCGCGCGCGACGGGAGGGGCCTCTCGCCGCCGCGCGACGGGAGGGGCCTCTCGCCGCCGCCTCGGCGGGTGGCCTTTCTTCGCCGCCTCTCGGGCGTGGACCCCTGGCGAGGTCCTCTCGCAGAGTTTTATTTTTAAGTCGGGCCCATCCCTCTACAGATGGAGTATTCCCAAACAGTCAAACAAGAGTATGGGGACTATTTTTGAGCATTTTTTGTTCATTTTGGATTTTTGTTTGGGTATTTTTATTTTTCGTCGAAGCTCCCCCTGTAGGGGGACACGCACAACTTAGTTTTATTGTTTCTTGTCCTCTCTCCCTTCTGGAGGAGCAGATCGCAGAAGAGGACACACCACGAACATAAACTTTTGGCGTTCCGGGCGGATTCCTTGGCTCTGCGCCTGCCCCCTGCGCCCCCCGGCGGCGTCTCCGGCGCCGCCCCTGGCGCGCTCCGCGCGATAGTAAAACAAACACAGTCGGGGAACTATTTTTCGATTATTTTTG